GCTCATACTGATTCAGCTAATGATGATCAGACCAAAGGCTTTGAACTGTGAAGAGAAGTGTAAAGCCCTGTGTATTGGGTCTTTCCTTGAGATTAGAGGGTAAGGGCAATCATGCCCCTATGCTTTTATCAAAAAGTAGAGCTGCTTTAATGATCACAGAATTTCCCAGAGACAGCAGAGGGAAGAACATTTTCTTAGGGCTGTAAAAATGACTGATGTTTAGGGTTGGGCAGTGTGGGCAGATAGAGACATCTCGGTTTCCAGCTGTTTTTAAGGGGCAGCTGAAGGCCGCAAAAACTGCGTGTGCCCGTTCCCTTCCACATGCACCAAGGTCCCAAAGGATTTGCAGAGTGGAAAGCAGAGGCTTGTTAGGCGTGCAAGATGTCAGAAGTGTTCACTGTGAAGGAAGGCAAAGGAAGCTGCATTTTCCAAGGTGCTGCAAGGGTGTGTTTGTACCTTGCCCCATTGCTTAGGGTGTAACTGCACACTGTGCTGGCCATCTGGGGCCGTTTCACCCCTGCAGTAAGTGTGCAGTACTGGGAGAGGTAGACAGTAAGAGTAAAGGCTATTGACCTGGTGCATTATGGCAGATGTTGTGTTTCTTGCTAAGTACTGCGAAAAGGAAAGGGGAGATTTAAAAAAAAAAAGAAAAAGAATAAAAACCTTCCTGAGCATGCCATCTTCCTTAAACCCGTGGTTTCAGCTTCCCTCTGTGCCCCTGTATACCAAAGACTCACAGCAGTCCTGCTCCATGAAGGTTCACTGGAACTAATTTCTGATGTTCAGAATTGGCACATGGTACACACCATAGGACATGGCTTTACCTAGCAGAAGGGCACTTTTCAAGGTCCATTGTGTTGAGCCTATAGAAAAAAACAAACTAGTAAGGAACCACCCCACCATTCAAATGCTGCAGTTGTGCGTGCCCAATTAAGGTGTGAGCACGTGGGGAGAAAACTTTGATTAACTCTGGCCCCAGTGAAATGTTTATGTAGTGGCCTGATTGAATGGTTTTTTTTCCCTGGGAGTGAAGACACAAGGAGGCCTCAGGAACAAAAAAAAACCTTAAATGTGTTAAATTCCCATAGCCATTTAGAGCCCCTGCAGCCACATGTCAGCACTTGCCTTTTGATTGGGAGTGTTGCGTTCTCCCCAGTGAGCAGAGAGGAATCACATCATCTGGTCTGGGACCAGTCACACCACGTAGCTGAGATTTTGACATTGGGGTCGGAGCTGAATGCATTGCTTTAGGGAGGCTTGTAGAAAAGGACAAAATCACCAAGTGAATTCCAGTAGCAAAAGCCTGCGGTGAGTCTCAGTGTGCTCGTAGGCATTCACAAGCAAAACATTAATTAGTCAAGTAAATGTTTCTCTGGGTGGATGAGCTATGTAGAGAGAAATGCACCTGTTCAGTATGCACAGAAGCAAAGTGTGTTCGTGCAAAGAAGCAGCTCCAGCCAAGCTGCCGTGGGAACGCTGTTGTTCTCTCAGCCAGGATTGTTACTATGGAGTCCTGTGCATTGCTGCAGAACGTATATGAAATGGTGGATGGGAAATATGACAGTGCCTTGGCACTCCTGGGCCACATGCGGGCTGGCACTGGGGACGCTGTCTCTGGCCCAAGTCGTTTTCCTCTTGGATCCATTTTACTCTGTGGCCTGGCCTGTGCACGTGGTGGTGGTCACCCGGACTCTGCTGGTGCTTTGTGATCGCTCTGCGCGAGGGTGGGTCTGCTGTGCACCCATAATGTTCCCCTATGGGTCTGCTGTAGAGGTGCCATGCCGCTGCGGCAGAAAAGTGTTGTTCCAAACCTTGGAGATGAATCTCTGGTGTGGGCTGGTGTTACTATGGACTCTGCTGGTGTGTCCATCATTCTTGCCTCCCGTGTCAGAGGCAGGGGTGCAGTCTCCACCAGTTGCCAGGCCTCCGCAGTAGTCAGTTGGGAGAGGGAGACACATCTCCAGGGATGGCTTCATCTCCTTTTAAGATGAGTGTCTAAGGATGGAATGAGTAGCTCTTTGAAAATTGTTTCTGTTATCTCTGGAGGTCTAGGAAGCCTTTTCTGTTTGTTTGGTCTAGAGCCGAGCTTTGAGATTGCTCCAGCTGAGTCCTCTGGTCCAGGACCAGAGTCTGAATCCTCAAAAGCACCTCACAACACTTCTTCCTTCCCTCTGTTCATGCAAATGGATGTCTGATATCACTGGCAGGCTACCGACAAGGAAAAGCTACTGTCAGCACATCAGCTTCTGAGAAAAGTAAGGGCTTGTTTTAAAGAGTTTAAGCATAATTTTGAGTGTGAACCGGAGCTAGTCCGGGTGGCCAGGCACTTTCTCTGCCATGTGAACTTCTGGCTGTGAGTTACATGGCTTTATGCTGGACTGCACCAGTGCAGGAAGCAGTGGCCATTGCACTGTGTCCTTTACCGTAATATGTCTACTCCCTTGCCTTCCTGCAGCCAGCAGGCTGGGGCTCCAAGGATTTGTTTGTGTGCAGTAGTACTAGGAAGCATCCAGCTCTTGGAGTCATGCTCCTTAAAAACAGCTGTATCCTGCCTTTTCCCAGACTGTCAGAGAAAAGATTCTCGTCTGGGAAGCCTGGCCTCAGGTGATGACACCACCTTACACATCCCTCCTGGAGACGTTCTAGCCTCTGTCTGGGAGACAGCCGTGTCCATTCTATTATCTAGCCATTCCCAGCAATATCCTTTCCTACAGCCTGGGTTCTGGTCTAGCCCCTTCAGCTGGACGTGTTGGAGACCGATCCCATGTTACAAGGATACCGCAAGAACTGGTCTTCAGTTGAGATCGTAGAATAGGTTCTGAGACAGAAAATAAAGGTGGCTTGTTCCCCTCCTCCAGCAATCTCTGCCGTGCTTTTGGATTAGGTGAATATCCATTCCACTCATTTTTCTCACCCTTTCCTGAGCCCCTGCTGGCATCCACAGCAGCATATCGTCTGCTGTACAGAGACGTACTGAGTTTGTTTCCAGCTGCTGCATGTTAACTGCCACTTGATATCTCATGCTTGTACAAAATAAGGGCAAGCTGATCCCTATTCACCTTCTTACCCTGCTCGGGATTATTTAGGCTTCTCCCAGAGCCCCTGTCCATTGTCTCTCCCTGGCTAAAGAGTCCTGATCTATCTAGCTGGACATCTGATAGAACCTGTCATCCAAGATCTCTTCCTTGAGTGACAGTAGCTAGCTATAGCTCATCATTTTCATGTATAAAGTTGTAATTGTTTTTCTTCCGTGTGCCGTTTCACTTTTAGCTTCATTTAAACTGCTATACTTTTGCCATTCAACTGCTGTATTTTGTCATTTAGTGTGGATTTTTAACTTAAAATGCAGGTCATTCTTCATTTATACTTAACTATGTTAGCCTGGAGACTGGTTGGTTTGTTTGGAACCTGCTCTAACCTGTTTAACCAGTCATTAAACTGCTGCGTTAGAGAAGTGCAGCAATGATTGCATTAGAGGAAAGCAGAAGAAATTCCATTTGGTTCAGGATTATCTATTTAATGTCATTGAATGCAAAGTCTTGTAAGCACCATCCATTTTAAGTACTGTGAAAGTCTACTGGTTAGTGCAAAGGAGCAGAATTTTGATAAAACATTGTAACTCTACATACGTTATTTGACCAGTTTCTGTGAAGATAGAGCCTAATTCAAGAGTCACGTTTTATCTCATAAGCACAGCATATTAAAAAGAAGTAATGTGCACTGCAGAGAGAAGGCAGGTACTGGGGGGGAAGGGACAGTGGCTCACTTAATGATTTATTTACTGAAAGCAAAGAGGGATGGTATCTTGCTTTGAAACTCGGTGACTCTGCCTTGTGTACAGATGTCAGTGACAACTGATGGGTTGTATTTTTATAAGAATTTGTGTAAAAATCACGAAGTCCAGAAATGGAGAGACAGACAATCTAAATTCACCAGTTTGGAATGGTATTTTCGAGTATTTAGTTTTTGATGGTTTGTTCCATTTCTTACAAAGCAATGGTTTCTTCCAATATTGGACCTAATACTGGATGTTTATTTTCCCTGTGCAGCTCTACCTGTTACAAATCCAAATGTGCATACACACATATATATATATATATGTGTATATATATATATATATGCAGGTTCAGTTTTGTTTCTGGCTTCTAAGTGGGAAGAAGTGAACATGTTTGAAAACCAATTTTAATTTTCTCTGTGGTGCTAACTAGAGACATTTCCAGCAGTTTTGAAGTTTGCCGTGAAAGGACTTTAAATTTTTATAGCAGTGGTAGAACTACCTGAATTGGTAGTTTGTCTCTCTCTGAATCCTTTGATGTGCTGTACCACAGAGTACAACACTACCTGGATTAGGCTGTCTGCATGTAGGTGTGATAGAGCGGACTCCGTGTTTGGGGAGCTTTGTTTTTTTGCGGGGATTTCAGTGACAGTGAAAGGTGCTTTGCTGACAGATACTGAAATTAAATCTTTCCAGTTAGCTGCAAAGTAGATCCAGAATGGGAAGTACAGACTTCTTGATCTCTCTCCTAAGAGGAAATGGCGATTTAATTCTCCTACTCAGTCAATCCTCGTTCCTTCTGAGCTGGAGTTTCACACAGGTGGTCATGAGCTTTTCAGTTTAAATCATGAGTTTGACTGGTCTGCTTGGAATTTGGCTGAAACTGTGAATGCATTTCATACAGCACCCCAAAGAGTCATCACGTGAAAATCGTTTGGGGCTACTGCCAGCCCAGGCTGAATTTCAACTGATGACCCACCCTCCACGTTGTATTCCCAGTATCATCCATCATATAAGTCTGGTGTTGAAATCTGGTGTTTCCAGAGGTACTTTAGCATACTAAATGTGCTTCCAAACTTCTGTGTTTTGCCCCTGGGTTTCAGCTGTTCAAAACACGGGCATGTTCTCTGCTCCCTCTGAATGCAGGTGGGGATGGACTTAGCAAAGAGACTGCATAACTTTTAGCTAAACCATTCCATTTTTTTTTCTTCTTCTTTCTTAACAGGATCCAACAGCTGCATCTATTTCGGACAGAGATTGTGATACGAGAGAGGGAGACACTGTAGCCATGAACTATAAGCCGTCCCCACTTCAAGTGAAGTTAGGTGAGTCTTTGCTAATGGAGAGTCAAAAGGCTGAATCCAAGGTCTGGAATACGGTGAGGTGCTCGTGGAATCATGTGCAGATCTCCATGCATGTGGCTGACCACGCCAGCCCAACTCCAACAGCTCACACAGTAGTTGTATCATTGTGATTCTGCTGCTGAGAGAACTGATGTACAAGCATGTAAGGAACCTGTATCTTGGGCTGTGGTAGAGGAGGGAAGGAAGGCATAGCTTTTTAAACCTACAGATTTTTGTCAAGCTAAGATCAAGACTTGGCCAGATATTGAAGATAATATAGAAGGACTGTAAAAACAAGAGAAGACAGAATAACTGCAAGCAAAAGGGAAAGGATCAGAGACTTGGGCCAATACCAGGAAAAGACAGAGCTGTGTTACTGTCAGATGGAGGGCTTGTAGGTCTGTAAAGGTTCACATAAAAACACTTGTGCTATTTCTGAGCAATATTTTTTAAGTTCTGTAAGCAGAATCATCCAGTTAGCACAATATGTTGCTTCCTCACAAGACAAGTGCTTACAAGAGAACAGCAATCCACATGTGGCTGTCCTGCCTACAACACCTGCACCACTATTGTGCCACAGAGCCTCAAGAACCTGATGAAGGACAAGTCAAAGGAACAGTGTGCTTTTTGCTCAGAGCATGGATAAAAACTGAGAATCTAAGTCTGGAAAATTTCCTAATAGGAGCAGGAAGCAGTCCCTTGGTTGTCCTTCACATCAGAACAAATGACATTGAGGGGATGTTGCTGAAGCCGATTGAGGGTGACTACACTGTGTTGGGGAAGGCTGTGAAAGAAGTGGATGGCCACATGTGCAGTGGAATAGCTCTGGTCCCTACCAAGTGAGCGACTGGGGAGGTCAGCACACAGCTATGTTTGAAGAAGGTTTGGGAAAGTTTGGGCATTGGTGTGTGGCTATGAAGAGGTGTTCTAAATAGATAGATTTTACCCAAGGACCTGCATTACTACTGCAAACAGCAGCAAGTTGGTGACATTTATAAGAGAGACCTTGAAGAAACACTGGAAAGAGGCTGAGGAATACTTGTGAAATCTCAAAGCTCTGCCTGAGTATGTAGCAGACCGAATAATCAGACAATCTGGTCATAGTAGTGCAGAAAGCAGTATCCCAGAGTAGACCCAGAAATGGCGAAGGAAAAGAAAGTAGCTGAATAGGCAAGACCTCGCTGCAAGAGTGTCTAGGAAGGAGAAGATTTAAAGCTGGCTGTGCAAAAGCAGCAAGATTATGCAGGAAAGCGGAGGACCTTGAGCTACAGATCCTAGAAGCATAGAATTGTTTAGGTTGGAAGACACCTTCAAGATCATTGAGTCCAACTGCTAACCTAACACTGTCAATTCCACCACTAAACCATGTCCCTAAAGCTCTGCATCTACATGTCTTTAAAATACTTCCAGGGATGGTGACTCCACCACCTCCCTGGGCAGCCTATTCCAATGCTTTACAACTCTTTCAGTGAAGAATTTTTCCGTAATATCCAATCTAAACCTCCCCTGACACAACGTCAGGCCATTTCACCTTGTCCTATTGCCTGTTACTTGGTAGAAGAGACTGACCCCCATCTCACTACAGCCTCCTTTCAGGTAGTGTTCTCCTTTTATCCAGATTGAACAACCCCAGTTCCCTCGGCTGCTCCTCCTAAGACTTGTGTGATAGAAGAATGTGATAGAAATACGAGCCAAGTGCATTGGAGCAGTAGACCTGTCTTGCAATCACAGTCATGAATACTCTAAAACCAGTGGCTGCTTCTCAGAAGAAGGCAGGGAGCAGCAGTATGTGTTAATGACAGCACAACTCACAGTTTGGTAAAATATTATCACTGCCAGCATGCTATGTGCCACCAGGATCCTTTTTCACTGCCAAGAGCGTTCTGTAATGTTGTTAGAGAAATAATTACTACTGCAATAGTTGTTTTGGATAATTTAACGTCAGGAATCAAGTTGTAGAGTAGTTGATACTATTACTGGTAAGTCTGAGATATTCTTGCATTTCTAGGCAATAAAAATATCCTCCTGAGATTTGCTAATGTGACAGGATATGACACTGTTTTAGACTTGGCTTTGGTAAGTCATGAGGACATTGTAGGAGATCTGATAGTAGGAAGTAGAATTGGATTCAGGGATGACAAATTCAATTCACACGAATTAAATGAAAAGGTAATTTGAGGTAGATCTGTAACAAACCTCAGTTTTATAAACTAAGTGCTTACACAAAGCCAGTAGATTGAGAAACCCGGGAACTCAAAACGCACCAGACAGTGTTGAAGGAGAAAGTATCAGAAGAAGGGACATTGCTAATGGAGTTCTCCAAAACAGTCATTTCATTTATACGTTCATTGAAGACTTTGACTCAAAAAGCAGGAGTCAGCAAAGAAAATGTAGTCATAGCATATTTGGGAGACATCAGTACAACAAAGACTCAGAAATACCATGGAGAAAAAACATGAAAACTGGAATAATAGAAATGAGAAAAATATGACAGAAGATACTCAGTCTGCTGTAAACTGGAGTTTACCAACTGGAGGTGACTAAAGAAGAGGAAGCCTATTATGTTAGTTGATTGCAAGGTGACTAGTTATTAAAATGGACTAATACATGAAAATACACCATAGTCGCACTTCTGCAGAATTTACCACCTTTTTTCTGAAGATCAGATACAATAGAATGATTGGTCTTTCTGCCAGGACTTCTGGGTTTCCACACAGGGAAATTTTTGTTTCATTTAGCCACTGCTGAATGCTACTATCCATCAGTAAAGAGGCAAAAGGAGGTATTGGAAGAGTCTGAACAATTTTTGCAGTAGATAGAGGTGTGCCATTGCCAGGACCTCCTTTCCAGCTAGTGCTCCTACCCAGTAAATACTCGGTGCTGACCGCAATATGCTTATGAGGGTAATAGTGAGTGAAACCTACCTACTTAAAAGGAATTGTCTTGCAAGACTGACAAGCATCTTCCTGCCTGGTCTCCAGAGAGAAGTCTGCTCAAACACCTCTCTTGCCCTGTGGAAACAGCACGTCTCTGTCATTAGGGTGAACACGTATCTAGTGGCATTTGGATTGACTCTTTACTCTTAGCCATACCCAGATTAACTCTAGGTTACCTGGGGCAAAATGAGACTAACAGTATTGTCTGTAGCCAGTGTAACATGCCTTTAATCCACTTCATCTGCTGCTGCTGTTATTCTTAAAGTCTGCCCAGCCTTTACAATTTTCATGTAGTGTAGTGGCTCACATCACCCAGCTCTGGCCCCTGTTCCTCCAACAAGATTTTTTTGTCTCTTCTGCATTAAACTTGTCAGGATTTGGATTGTTTTTTTAATCTCTTTAAGGCTAGACAAAGTTAAGGCAGTATATAAATGTTTAATAGCTTAACTGAGAGAGCTATTGTTGGGCATGGTAGCAACTTGGGTTTTCATCCTGTTGCAGGATTTCTATATGGATAGTGGCATTTTTCACTGTTAAACCGGAATCAATTGTTCGAATGTCAAATGCTCTGATGGAAGGTTGATAAATGTTGTTTTTCCCTCTGTGAAGACTCATATATAAATCTGTCATATGTGCTTGCTGGAAACTTGATTCAAGTGAGCTCAATTAAATACCAACCCAGCATGAATATAACTTTTGCTTCTAGAGCCCACAGTGATTGAAGTGTGACAGAAGCAGTGTGCTGTGCTGCACGCACTGAACACAAGATTTATCCCGCTGCGTGAATGGTCTTTGTTGTTTCTCCCCCTCTGAATAAATACGTTTGGCCACGTGTTTGCTGGGGGGTCAGTTAGGTACAAGAAAAGCTTCACAGGTGGCTTATACTTCTAGTGACTTCCTAAAGGTTCCACCTGGTTTATAAGTGGACAGTAAAACATTTAGCTTGCTGCTGAGGCCACATCAAAAAAGAGGAGAACCTCACACCAAGGGGAAGTAACATCTTCCAGTTCATGTAGTTCATCATCTTAAACCCTTATTGCTATTATATCCATATTAATTATGTGTTTCTTACTTTTCTAAGACTCCCACTTTGTCTTTCTGTCAGGAACTGCAAGGCTCAGCCACGCTTCTTCCTTTCTTTCAACTCACTTGATAAGGAGGCTCCCAACAGCATGGGGAGGGGGGCTGGGTGTACATTAGTGCTTAGGAGATGTGCCCAGCCCATCCTTATTAGGAGGCATATCCAGATGGAGCACATACCACAAGCCTTTTGAAAACAGAAGAAAGTTGTGATAAGGAGAGAGGGAGGAACGGAATAATCCCCAAATGTAAATCTCAGGGGTTGCATATCCACTGGAAGGCAACGGAGCCTCCTGGGACGAGATATTATTTTAATGAAGCTTATGCCATCTGTTTTTCTGTTATGCATTTTTAATTTCCCTTCTCTGCACTGAAATCCCCATCCAGACAGTCTGTCTGTCTTGCCCAGCAGTCAACGACGTGACAGTTTGTGTTAAAACAGAATGGGCAACGTGGTGATTGGTTGGAGTGCTGCAGCCACAGTGGTGATGAGGGATAGTGCAGTGGCATCTTCATCGGCGCATCCACCACACCAGGAGCTTGGTAGTAAATCTCCCGCATCCCCGTCTGCAGATGAGTGTGTGGAAGAGAGGCAGACAGACAGAGACACTCAGAGCAGCCTTGATCCCTCCAGGATACCTGTTGTCTTAGGTGTAAGCACCTCCTCTCCTTGGACCAGATAGAGAAGGCGGCACTGGTTTTGGAAGGTTGCTCAGTGGTGTCTAAAAGTATGTGAAAAATCAGTGTCTAAGCTAAGCAAACTGTGTCCCACCTTAAGACTGAGTGACTTACATGTGGATGAGGTCTCCTGCTGTATGACCAAGAGGAAACCTCTCGATGTTCATGTTGATGCAGGCTTCAAAGTGTTTATGGTTTTTATTTTAGATTTGCTTTGCAAAGCTTCTTGTAAAAAAAAAAAAAATGACCTGAATTGCAAATGTAGCAGATAATTTTCCTGCTTTCCTA